TCCAAATTATTCATAATATCATTTGGTACCTTTCAAATATATGTATAGAATAAATTATAAGGTAATTTTATATAAATTTTTTATAGAGCTTATACGTAACGACAATACTTTTTACTAAACCGTCGTGGCACATTTCGATTTGTGTAATGTGCAGGTGCATTAAACAAACTTTACATTTTCACACCACACTTTAAAATGGCATATTGATCACCATCACTGCTTTATTAAAATCAATTTCCATAACGATAACGATGATTCTACGTACTAACACAATACATGACTTTGTACAACTATAATGTCGATAACATTAAAGCAGGTCGTCAGTAATATTTTGTAGTAATTAAGTCACGACAATTCGCTTGCACCACAGGACTCAAGAAATTTATAAAATTCGATTATGAAACTAATTCTTTATAGCGCTAATTATTAAGTGAAACTTCGTTTGTTATTTATTTATAGTTGTCATGAAGTCGATCTCTTCGATCATCGATCATTTCAATTATGAATATAGTTTATTAAATCTGACGGCTTTATTACATCATGTGATAAGTTAAATAAATAAAAAATAATTTTTGCACGTACGTACGTACTTAAGTAGGGAACAAAGAGAAAAGTAAAGAAGTAAAGAGACCATTTTTAATTGGTGGTTGCCACACCCTCAATCGCAGATTTGGAAAATAAAATGTTGCTCTATAATATTCCAAAATGAATGTTCATGTACAATCCGGTTACCGGTTAAGTCTTAATTTGATCATATCCCAATTCCAACGCCACTTTTATACTAGCTTACCTAAATCGATCAATCAATCATGCAGATTTCTTTCTTATAACGATAAATTCATTTTTCGATTGTTTTATTATTGACATTAAGTGTAAAATTGTAAATTTGATAATGTCAGAGGAATTTCCTCAAGAAAAGAATGTCTTAGAAAATGATGAATCCAGTAAAGTTACTGAACATTATACAAAGCTTGATGTGGGTGATTCAGAGAGCTATGATGTGCCATCTATTAAAGACTTGAGTACTTTACGAAAAGTTGCTGGTCGCATACCCACTGGTATGTTCCATAGTATTTTTAATTTAAATAATTCATATTTAATTTTAATACGTTTATATAATTGTAGCTGCGTGGTTTATAATACTTTGTGAACTCTGTGAACGATTTACATATTATGGTGTCTCTGGTCCTTTTCAAAATTATATTCAATTTCCTCCACCTGTAGAAAAGAATGGACAACCTGGTGCAATTGGTGCAGGTCAACAAGCTGCAACTGCATTAACTTTGTTTTTCCAATTCTTTTGTTATATCACTCCTATATTCGGTGCAATTCTTGCTGATCAATATATTGGAAGATTCAATACTATTTTTATGTTTTGTTGTGTTTACATGGTTGGTCTAGTAGTCTTGACTGTCACTGCAATTCCACAAGCAATTGCTTCAGGTATTTCTCTTCCTGGTCTAATCATTGCTATGGTTATTATAGGGTTGGGTACAGGTAAGATTGCTTTCTAGTATTCATTTAATTTGAACTAATATTTAATTTGATAATTGATTATTACTAATTTTGTCATAATACTATTATATATATTTCTTTTAGGTGGGATCAAATGTAATGTTGCACCTTTGGCCGGTGAACAAAATACACTCACTAAACCCTATGTCAAAGTATTAGCAAATGGTGATAAAGTCGTTGTGGACCCAGAATTGACCACTCAATCTATTTTTCATTGGTTCTATTTGGCAATAAACATCGGTGCTCTATCCCCAGTAATCACTACAAATGTCGAAAAATATCATTCTTATTGGTTGGCTTACCTAATTCCATTAATAATGTTTATTTTCGCAATTTTGGTGTTGATAATTGGAAAAAATCAATTGGTCAAAAAAACTCCAAATGGATCTGCTTTATTAAATTGTTTTCGAGTTCTTCGGATAGCTTTTTCTCATGATCGTTCTTTAGAAAATGCAAAACCTTCCAATATGTCTGATGATGTTAAAGCCAAAGAACATGTAACTTGGGATGATGACTTTGTGGATCAAGTACGAACTGGAATGCAAACTGTTCGTATTTGCATATTTTTCCCGGTTTATTGGGTTTGTTATTTACAGATTCATAATAATTTAATATCACAAGCTGCTACAATGCAAGTTGGTGGGGTATGTATTCCATCTTTAACTCGGTTTCTTAATTATTTGAATTTGTGATTTATTTATATAAAATTACCTTATAATTTATTCTATACATATATTTGAAAGGTACCAAATGATATTATGAATAATTTGGA